TTCGACCTGATGATGATGCAAAAATAATGTTGCATTTATGTGCACAACATTTCCATGAAATCCAGAGCACCGAGCCTCATAGACTCTTCGTGACGGTGGGGCTGGAGAAGCCGTCCGGATCATTAGATGATGAAGATTCACCCTCTGGGGAGCAATGCTACCTGTGCAAGCTGCCTGTAAATCCATCCACCGCCGGACAATTCGCTCATGAATGGAAACGTCCCTTTAATGTAAAGCAGCTCTCAATGATTCCAATGACATTGTTGAACAACTTGAATCAATATTTAATTCCATTTTAACAGCAGTTTGTTCCCAGGCAGGTATTGATCTCTAAGACCTGAGGAAGAGTTATTGCACCAAAATCATTCAAATGATTCAGCTATTGCTCCGCGGGGTCACTGGGGTCACATCACTCTGTGTGCCTGTTTGTTCGCATTTATTCAACGGCTTCTGACCCCCGAGGTCAAAATGCAGAAAGGAAATGTTGAGGTGAAGCCACAGCAGAAAGCTTGTTGGGTGGTGTTAGAGGGTGGTGGAGGGCCTTCAGTCACTGCGACACGTCACACGTCCTCATGGCGAATTCAACACAAAACGACAGAATCTCGCTATATGTCACGGAGACGATGGAAGCGTTTCATTTTGAATGTGGGTGTAATAAATGTAAAATCCATGCCTCTGGTCAGGGCTGCTACCTGCCGAGGACATCAATCATTACACCCATGAACAGCGCTGTGATCCAACACACACACACACACACACACACACCTATACTCTCCCAAACACTTTCATAGCTTCAGTTGCAGCAAAACGCTCTTCAGGCAGGTTTCTTAGTTATGCTCTTCTGTTCCTGCTCTAATAAGAGGGAGATATCTCCCCTTAAATCACCTTAAATCTACACTTCTGCTTCTTCTTCTTCTTCTTCTTCATTTTGCATTCACTGTTTAAGAGGACTTTGCGGCTGAAGCTGTAATAAATCACAGAGTGGAGGTTTTTCTGTCCACAGTCAGCACATCTTCTACACACTGGAGCTCTGCAGCCCATCTGTCGCCCCTCTGCTGGAGCAGCTACAACGCTCCCCGCGTGTCACCACGGAGGAACCTTCACCTTCAGCCACTATTACACACAAATACAAACGGCATCCAGGGATGATCCTCCCATAGAAACCAATGGGACCGAACTGAATCACAACATATTGATGTCCTGACTATAATTAGGGGGAAATCTTCCGACACATGTCCACAACCAGGTAGCGCTGTTAGCACGTTAGCTGCAGGCAACCTGCTCATCGAATGCCATGATGATAATTAGTGTGATGATATAAGTACACAAGTTAATTTGAATATAGAGTTTCTCGTTTTTTGCCATCGTTGCTGCATGTTCTCCCTACTGAGGGGCTGATGAATGACAATCTTTTCTCCCCTTTAATCTAAAAACAAAGAGACGGAGCTGCTCTCCCTCCTTTCTGGCTCCACATGGAAATCTCCTTCACATAACTGACGTGTAAATTCTCTTCAAAGTGAATCGGGAGGCCGAGAGCCGCGTCCGTATCAGGTGAACACAGCTTATGCAGAGTTGTCTCATTAATTTAAAGGGCTTCTGGGCGTCTGGCCAACTGCGATGAGGCCGCCAAGGTGGTGGAGCGTCATGGCGCTGATGTCATTTGGAGATATTTCAGGCGGCTTCGTTACACGCGGGGGTCAAAGGTGAGTGTTGTACAGGGTCGACTGGAGCGGACTGCGGGCTCTGAGGTGCTCTCTGGTGACGGAGGCAGCAGATGACGCAGGTGTGTTCAGTGAGGAGGGGCGTGTCCTCAATCAAAATCAACACATTGTGGGAGGAGCTTAAAGACGGCCTCACTGTGCAGGTAAAAGAGAATTATTGAACTCATTGTGCTCCGTTTGTTTCTTTCTCTCCGTTCTTTTGGAAACACGGCGCCACACACACACACACACACACAGACACACACACACACACACACAAACACACACAGACACACACACACAGACACACACACACACAGACAGACACAAACGCCTTCCTGCTGATTGCAGTAATTAGTCTATCGTTAAAGACTGCGGCGATTGAAACGGACGCATTGAGGAGCCGAGACACTGTGCAGCTGAGGACTGCTGACTCTGCAAAGACGAGTCCACAAAGGTTCCATCCTGAGATGTTTAATCGATGGTGGAGGCGAGGAAGAGGGGAGGAATCAGTGGTGGAGGAGAGGAAGACGGGAGGAACCAGTGGTGGAGGAGAGGAGGAGGGGAGGAACCAGTGGTGGAGGAGAGGAAGACGGGAGGAACCAGTGGTGGAGGAGAGGAAGAGGGGAGAAACCAGTGGTGGAGGAGAGGAGGAGGGGAGGACTCAGTGGTGGAGGAGAGGAAGACGGGAGGAACCAGTGGTGGAGGAGAGGAGGAGGGGAGGAACCAGTGGTGGAGGAGAGGAAGACGGGAGGAACCAGTGGTGGAGGAGAGGAAGAGGGGAGAAACCAGTGGTGGAGGAGAGGAAGAGGGGAGGAACCAGTGGTGGAAGAGAGGAAGACGGGAGGAACCAGTGGTGGAGGAGAGGAAGACGGGAGGAACCAGTGGTGGAGGAGAGGAAGAGGGGAGGAACCAGTGGTGGAAGAGAGGAAGACGGGAGGAATCAGTGGTGGAGGAGAGGAAGAGGGGAGGAATCAGTGGTGGAGGAGAGGAAGAGGGGAGGAACCAGTGGTGGAGGAGAGGAAGAGGGGAGGAACCAGTGGTGGAGGAGAGGAAGAGGGGAGGAACCAGTGGTGGAGGAGAGGAAGAGGGGAGGAACCAGTGGTGGAGGAGAGGAAGAGGGGAGGAACCAGTGGTGGAGGAGAGGAAGAGGGGAGGAACCAGTGGTGGAGGAGAAGTTGAAGGTTAAACTGAGCCTCCCTGTGTGTGTTTGTGTGAGGTGCGTTTGCTGTTCTCTGAGTCGCCTTCATCAGAACCTCGGTCATCACAGTCGGTCGTCGCCTTGGTTACTGACCTTGGAACTGATGCTGAGTTTTACTGGAGCGCAGCAGGCTGCTTGCTAAGCCTTTAGCACAAACTTAAAACCACGAATGTCTCGTTTTTGTGCTCAGGACCACTGACCCTTAAACGGAGTGGATTCTAAAAGAGAAATGTAACGTGAACTCTCGATCAGTCGTTCACGCGTTTTTAAGCCCTCAAGTCATTATCCATGTTGATATATATATATATCATACATATAAAAAATATGATGCTCGAAAGTCGGCAGTTGCATCAAAAAATTTTTTGTTGTCATCTGTGGAGAATTAAATCTGTCAGACCAACACTCACAAACTACTTCTTTCAAGTATTTGTTTTCAGTCGATGAGACATCCGTCATCCGATGAGACATCTTGTCGTCCCGTGAGACGGATCACCTGTGGTGATGGACAAGAGTTTATTCTGTAGAACTATACTCGCGTTTTTTTGTAGGAAGGAAGGAGGAAAATAATGCACTCGAGTATGTTATTAACATTTTACACCACATTGTTGTGTCGTGACTCCCTCCTGCTCCTCCTCCAGTTTTTAATATCGCTCATTGAGGTTAATAATCAGCGTGTGAATGTCAACGTGTTCAAACGGTGTCATTGTGGTCTCATTAGCTTCCTCGGTGCCTCGGCTCTGTTTCCTTTATTGCTTTCATTGCAAAACATGACGGTTCACGAGGAGAGCCCGGAGAACCGGTGGACCAGAAACAAACAGCAACAGAAAACTAATGTGAACCATAATACCCGTGTTTCACAATCTTCATCACTCCGGCCTTCTGCTCCTTTCTTGAGGTGAATCCATTTTGCGGTTTGAAGACATGCAAAGCTCTAATTTACATCCTCGGGTCCATAACGTTGTAAAAGTTTTCCTTTGTCCCTCCTTGTGAACGAGAACCAGGCGGGACTGAAGGCTGGGAGGCGGAGCTAAAGGAACCCGTGGACTATGAAGGTCAGTGGAAGATCTTGGTTATTTAATCCGAGGTCAAACTTCTTTTATTTCATGTGCACAAACCTTCGCTTCTGAACGCAACTTTAAAAAAGTTCTCTTGAGCCAGATTTGAAAGAATCGACCCCGTCCTACTGGCCATGTTTTATTTTATCATGCCGATACTCAGGAGACGTATTTGCCAACCATTTCTTCATTTTATCCACGATATCAAACCCCTTTATTTAGCATTTATTACCCTAAAAAACGTAAAAATCATGCAAGTAACTCCTCCGTTGAAGCAGCCGTCACATGGAGCCATTATTATTTGAAAAACAAAAGGGAACCTGAAAGTTTAAGTTTTGGTCTTGAACATTGAAAAATACAATGGATTCAAAATAAAAATAAGTGGACAAAAAGTATTTTTGGGTGGAATACAGTTTTTACTCAGTTCTATAATTTCTTTGAGTAAAATAAATATTTCTCAATCTTCACCTACATATATATATATATATTTTTGGTTGCAGATTTTATGTTTTCAGATTCTAAACTTAATTTAATCTTAATGTGCAGTGAGACGAGGACGCAGGGGCCGTCTGCAAAGCAACATCACCATGAACTGTTGCATGAGGACTCGTTCCTAATTAAGTCGATCCACTGGTGAACACTGAATAGTAAGTAGGCCTCGATATGAGCTTTTGGCTTCATGTCATCTCGGGTTGCAAACATTACATATTGTATCAACAATCATCTACATTATAATATATTGCAAACATTGAGAGTTAATTCACTATTTAAACTAGTTACTAAACATTTTATAGAAACATGCATGAAACTGTAGAGCAGTGAAACCCTCCGTCAGAGTGTGTGTGTGTGTGTGTGTGTCGGCCTCCGTCAGGCGACTTGTGACAGGTGGTGTCACTCCTACGCTGTCAGTCGTAAACGGGGCAGATGGAGCGCTGAGAGCCGTGAACGCCCACAGCGGTTGCCGTGGAGATACGACCCCCCCCCCCCACATTCCTCCCTGCGATTTCTCCTTCACTTATAGGATTGAGGAAGGAATGGAAATAATTCCGGGCTGTGATATCGTTTTATATTCTCAACACACAGAGGGAACGATAACGTTATTTCAGGGATCACTGAGAAAAGACAAAAAGTCGAGAAAACGGGACAGTTTGCAGATGAAATCTATTAAAAATAAGTCGCTTTGTGATGTACGTACAATGTATTGAATTTCACAAAGTCAACAAAATATCCTCACAGAAATCTTTAAAACACATTGACCCCAAAACAGTTTTACAATAAAATAAAAAAAAACAGCGGTCACGTGACTCAAACATTGTTGTTGGTTTACGACAGAAAAATTAGTAGAAGTATTTATGGGTAAAATATTTACAGAACACTGTCCTTTACTGTGAGCTAAACATTAAGCTACAACCAGTAGCCAGTTAGCTTAGCTTAGCTTAGACTGGAAGCGGAGGCAAACAGATGTGTTCACACAGAGAATTGGTTCCAAGATGTTAAAATTTAAAGTAGTTTCCTTTCAAGTATGAAATAAAACCTTGACATTTAAACAGTTAATTCACATAAAGAGTTTCAGGGTTGATAAAAGAGATGCTAGCAGTTTCTAACGCTAAGCTAAGCTAACTTGGTTAGTGGAGATCTTCTCTAATTTTCCCACAAAGTGTCCAGATATTCCTCTGAATATCGGCCGAACTGACAGAAACGTCACAGCAGCTCCAACGTCGGCTTCAAAGCAAACGGACCGAAGGAGAACTCCAGGTAGTGGAAGAAGAATCAACCAATAAGACAATAACAATTGTGTTCCCCAATAAGGTTGATTAGAGTAGAACAGGCGTTAGCAGGATGCTAAGTGCAGCCATTTTCATGTGCACTACTTTGAAGAACACAGACTTACCAACTGCATGAACTTACTTCGCTGGATTAACGCCGGGTTTTGAATCCCAACGGCCGCGGTTCGACCCGCTTGGATTGGAATTAGGACCCTTCATCACTCGAGGTCACTGACCATCTCTCCCTTAACCGATGAGCAGTGGGATCCATAACATGAGCGACGTGTCACATGATCTCCAGTGCGCCGCGTTGGCAAAATCTTGACGTGTTTTCCCACCAATAACCACGGCCGCCATTTTCTTCTTAACATTGTCACGTGACCACCACGGCCGGAGATCCGTTCTTGGTCTGGATTTCCTATCGGATCATGAGCTAAGAGTCCGAGCCCACGTTGGCAACGACTCGCCTTGGCAACGGCCGTTTGTACCTGAACGCAGCGCAGCCACGACATCAAAGTCTTGCGAGACAAATGTTCCGCATAGAGGCTTGCTATGATTTTCTTTTAAAAAGGTCACGTGACGTAGAGAACACCGCCCCACCGACGCGTGCGTCAGTTGACGTAGTAGAGCCAGTAGATGGTGTTGAAGAGGGAGAAGCTGAAGGGGAATATTATCCGGGACCATCTGTCGATGGTGTTGACGTCGGTGAGGTCCGGGATTTTGATTCTGAGCTGCGAGGATCGTCTGCGCAGGCGCATCTTCTTCAGCCGGGCGTCCCTCGCCGGGCCGAGGCGCCCCGGCTCGCTCATGCCGCTCGGCTTCCTGTATTGGACGCCCGAGTTGTCCAACACCACGCAGGAGGAGGAGGAGGAGGAGGAGGAAGAAGAGGAGCAGTTGTGGGCCTCCACATCGTTGCCGCCCACCTCGTTGTGGATCTCCAAGGTCGCAAGCAGAATGTTTCCCCGGGTGTCGACCTAGACGGAAAAAAAGCAAGAAAAACATGTTAAAAAGAGAGAAGAAGAAGGGGGGGGGGGGCTGAGGCTCGGCCTCCACGACCCGGTCCCCCCCCCCCCGTCCCAAAGTCAAATCACGCCTCACAAATCAGCTCAAGGTCGGGCTGCATGCGCTCCGATGCTGAAGTCACCGCTCGTAAATCATTCCCAGCGCGATGTGGACACAGCGACGCGACGGCGTGGCCACGAGACACCGCAGGAAGTGACACGCTGAACATTCATCTTCTGTGGGACATTTTCAGATGTGAAAAACCTGCTCGTATTCATTTCTTTGTTCCAATATTTTTGTTTTAGCGTCGATATTAATGTTCAAACCAAATCCTGACCGGTCACAACTAATTGCATTTGATGAGCTTCACTTTCATACTATTTTATTATTTTACATGGGAAAAAACATAATGGTAAATGGTTTAATGGTAAAAACATTCTAAATTCATCTGAAGACCAAACTTTTGATTCCTTTAACAGAGAAATATGACCTTCCATCAGATCCGTTAAACTTCCCACGGTGGTTTTATTACTCATGAGAACGCACGTTGTATAATTTACACAACATTACAAACACATCGGCGCTCTGAGCGGCGCTCGGCTTGAACGGCAACAAGCTCTCCAAATAAAAGACATCTACAAAGTTATCTTTCAAAAGATGCAGAACCAGGACGTGTGACCCGCCGGAGAAGACGTGTGAGATTAACGCGAGAGGAGGTTTGCTTGAGGAGCTCGTGACCTTCAGATGGGAGATAAATATTTCCCCTGTTTGTGAATCCCGACGTAGGACATAAATCCTGGATTTCATATGACAAGAGTTCACGTGGTAAAATATGAACGGGCCGGCAGCATGAATCTTTCAGAGACAGTGACTGATTAAGAAAAGGGGAAATCTGAATCTTCGTGAAAAGGACTAATTGTAATCGCTGTAGAACTTCGCCCCCTGCAACACAACCGTTGGTACACACAAGGTGTGTTTTTCGTCTTTGTTGTAGAACGTTTTTGTTTGTGTTTCGTCAGACTTTGTACATCGTGGATGTTTTTGTTCATATTAGACGTTGATGCTTGTTCGCATTCATTCATTCAGGGTTCAGAGACAATAAAGCACCACAGACGAGAAGCGAACCGACGGATGAATTTGCTTCCCTGTGATGGTGATTGTGACATGAATATGGCCGGTTGGGGTGTGAGGGACTGATGGACGTCTCACGGATGGGACACAACAGCCGGAGACGGAGACGGACACTCACCCGCCGAGAGGGACAACGCCCTCCTGCCTGATTGGACAGTCTAACAGACCAAGTTCTGCAATGGCCTCCACCCAGAAGGGACTAGCCAGGAGAAAGACAGACAGAGAGCCCTTTGACTGAGCTGGGGTCAGCTGGACGGGTCCACGGGGGATCAAACAGGCAGACAGGAAGTTTTCGGACCGGAGAAGTCCAGAGGTGGACATTCAATACGCATATATACATTGCTCCACATGACAAACAGACCTCCTGTAGATGTTCAAGTGGGGCAGACTGTGTTATCGCATGTTTTCACTCGCTAAGTGGACCATTAGTCACTAAATGAACATCATGCTGTATGAAGAAGACGTGAAACTAGAGACTGAGACCATAAACTTGTGTTTACAACGTTTACTGAGGGAATAAATCAAGAGAGAAGTAGAGTCATTTTCTCATAGACGTCTATGGGAGCAGAGGAGTCGCCCCCTGCTGGTCACTACAGAGAAGTAGAGTCATTTCCTCATAGACGTCTATGGGAGCAGAGGAGTCGCCCCCTGCTGGTCACTACAGAGAAGTAGAGTCATTTCCTCATAGACGTCTATGGGAGCAGAGGAGTCGCCCCCTGCTGGTCACTACAGAGAAGTAGAGTCATTTCCTCATACACGTCTATGGGAGCAGAGGAGTCGCCCCCTGCTGGTCACTACAGAGAAGTAGAGTAATTTCCTCATAGACGTCTATGGGAGCAGAGGAGTCGCCCCCTGCTGGTCACTACAGAGAAGTAGAGTCATTTCCTCATAGACGTCTATGGGAGCAGAGGAGTCGCCCCCTGCTGGTCACTACAGAGAATGCAGCTTTAAGACATGAGGCATTGGCTTCACTGTTCAGAAGTGGAGGTCGGTTAAGAGGTGAGGAGGTGGTGCATGTCACAGTGTCATCTTCCCCACCCGTGATCTCCAGCGGGGATGGGCTTCAAACTGGTGGTCCTGAACCTCACTCTGTGACTCACCTTGGGTCCGTCTAAGTTCTCCCGCTCATTGTTGGCCTTCTGGGCCTTCTCAGCCTGTTTCTTCTGCATCTGAGGACCTCTTCCAAAGAAGGTGTAGTTGACGAAGGCGTACTCCAGCAGGGCGAGGAAGACGAAGACAAAGCAGCCCATGAGGTACATGTCTATGGCTTTCACGTAGGGGATCTTGGGCAGAGTCTCCCTCAGATGGGTGTTGATGGTCGTCATGGTGAGGACAGTGGTGATCCCTGCAGGAGAAAAAGATTAAAGATGAGTCACAGTGTTGCAAATTAAAGATAAACACGACTGAACCCAAGTCCAAAATGTACGGTGGTCAAACAACTGATGTTTGTCTGAAGACAACGTTCTCGTGTTTAGTATTACTAATAGTTATTACTACTAAAAACACTGCAGAAGTTGATGAAGTGGGGGGTTGGTGCAGGGTGTCCGACACCAATAAACGTTAAGCCTTGTCTTGTAACTCTTAGACCGCAGAAGCACCTTTCAGAAACAACATATTTTAACATATATTCCGAAGAACATCCGAAGATTCTTCACTTTTACGGCACTTTTATATAGTTTTCCTTTTGCGGCCCTCAATTTGACCTGAAATGCTAAATGATGCTTTGTGCGTCGATTACAGGACACGATCGAACTACAAAGGAAGGATTCTTCATCTTATCTGTTTGTCCTTTGCATATCTTGAATTGAGAGACGGAGCAGCCTTCTGAAACCAAAGAAGCATTTTTCTCCAAAGCCCAACATCATTATCAAGGAGCCTGATCGATTCTTTGTATTGACGACCCACATCAGTGACTTAAGATGTGACGGACCTCCTCTTAATCAAAAATCCATTAGTGTGGCAATACTGGGGTTGATATGAAGAACACTCGAGAAGTTGGGATGAAAGTTCCCGAGCGTCTCTTCTTAAAGTTTGACCCCGGCTGGTTGTCGGATAAGCAGAAAACCGCTCGGCTCTCGGAGCGAACGCACTCAGCAGATACACAACAAACCGCGGCGTAGTAATTCTCCTCCGTAATGTGCACCATCAACAGTAAACGGGTCCGTGTTGTGTTTGCGGAGGCCGCGTCTATTCCTGTCGACTCAGGCTTACATAATTACACCACGAGCGTGGCGGCGTTTGCCGCGAGCGTGGGGGGGGGAGAGCGTGGGGGAGGCGAGGCCTCTGTGGCTTTACAGCATCGATCTCTGCGGAACAAAGAGGAGCCTCACCCGGAGAGGTCCTCCACCAGAAGAAACGTATGGTTTCAGCGCAGTTTGCTGGGCTGGCGGCCGTTAAAGGCGCAGGGACGCGTTACGAAAGGGTGTCATCACTGGCGGTTCGCTTAACTCCTCCCCCCAAACGCTCACGCAACAGTTTGGATTATTTCTTTCTGAAATGTTACGGCTCATTTTCTGGCAAATTTTGTGCAGCAACACGAGTCCATTTCCGTCCTTATAAAGATGAATTTGTTTATTGAGGCAAGTCAATGCATTTAGGTTATTAAGAAATTTTTAAGTATTGATTTCAAGTTCAACTTCAAGTTGCGTTTTAGTTTTTTAAGTTTTAGTTGTTTGACCTTTTAAGTTACGTATTTTGAGTGTGTTTCTGTCATTGATTCAGTCCAAGGAGTCAGAAGAAAGTCTTACACCAGATATCAGCCTGATAAAACCTTCACTCTGAGCTTATGTTAAGAGCTTAAGCTCTTAGCAGTTAGCAGTTCGTAGCTGCTAGTCACGACTTGAAGGCCTTTAAGAGGGTAAGAGGACGCTGGGACAGAAGCTCTGCGTCGCCCTTTGGATGCCGAGGATTCGGGTGATTTCATCACACTGAAGTCTTTGCCTCACGTGGAACTTTCGCGGGAACGAACGGCTCGTTCATCGGTCAAAACGGACGTCAGGACTCAAGGTGAAGCCGGCCCGGGGTCGACCCGCCGCGCGCCGCCGCGCGCCCGTACCTAATGCGACTCTGGCAGCCGAGGCGTCATAATTTATCCAGAACGACACCCAGGAAAGGATGGTGATGAGGATGGAGGGCATGTACGTCTGCAGGATGAAGTATCCGATGTTCCGCTTCAGCTTGAAGCTCAGGGAGAGTCGAGGGTAGGCTCCTGCAGGAGGAGACGAAGAGGAGGAAGACTGTTACACAAGACGAACAAGCAGACGTCTGGCACTTTCTTTTGGTTCCTATGGCGATGGGACCATGTTTTTTTTTTCCATCGCCATAGAAACAGGAAGCAAGCAAATCATCTTATGGAACTTGAGATTATTAGTGAGGAAACAGACTTCGCTGAACTGAACCAAACTTTTACAACACGAAAGTCTCACAATAACAGAAACCAACCAACAGACGGATGCAGCAGCAGACCAACAGCTGCCGTATTCTGAGTGGTGAAATGACGTTTTTTCTGAATGGAGTTTGGTGTCGTTGAAGAGATAATAAATAACAGCTAGAGTTCTCGTTCAGAAAGTTCTGTCTGACAGAAAGGATAAAACTGTTGGTTTTAAGCATGTTTTGCATTTCAAATTAACATCAAAGTAGGCGGGAAATTACGGATGCATCTTGCTAACCGAGCTAACCTTTGCTAACATCATCCAAATGTGCTCTTCTGGTAAAAACCACAAGATGCCATCCGCCAAAAGGTGTAGCTCCTGGCGCTACATAGAAGACGTTAAAAGATCAGAACAAACACCTGCATCGTCCTCTCAGAAATGTTCAGCCTCTGCTACATCGTCTGTGGGAATAATCATTTTTTGGTGTAATGAGAGAGTAATTCATGGTGTGAGTACGGCCCTCGCTCTTTGGATCAGGGTTCTGCTGCTGGGGGGAGAGAGTTTGATCTGACTAATGTGAACACTGATCCACGGCCTCACTTCAACCTTTAAAGGCTCTTTGTAGCAACAACACTTTCTGCCGACAATGGGACCAGCCAAGCTTCAAGGCGTGAGCTTCAGGCGTGAGCTTCAGGGCGTGAGCTTCAGGCGTGAGCTTCAGGCGAAACTCGCCTGTGGAGAAGACCACGTTCCTGGAGACCAGCTTGTAGTCCACGATGGAGAACTGAGGGAGCTCGATGCGCGTCACCCCGGTCACGGCGGTGTCGCCTCCCTTCCAGTAGAACTCGATGTCATCCGTCGTGTAACCGTCTGCAAACGTGGACACGGGGAACAAGGAGGGAGGCGGGATTATTACGAGTGGAGGAATCTGTGGTTCTAAAAGTTTACATTTAAAGTGTTTTAACGAAATCGACTGATTTCGCTTAAGCACTGTGTCTGAATAAGTTAAGTAAATAACCAAAAAACTAAAAATAATAAAGGAATATGGGTATGTTGAGATGCATATATATATTTTTTTATAAAATAATAAATAAATTACACATTTAATCCGTGGTGTATTTATTTCTGTTGACAATCAAGCAGCATCAAATAACGAGGATAATAATGATGGATTAGTTAATTTAATCATTTCCTGATATAGTTTCGTCTCACATCCCTCGCCGCTTCACTACAGAAACGACTGCAGCGACTCAGCAGCTCTCGCCGGAGACGCAGACGCGAGCAATCTGGCTGAGATACGACCGCTTAATAAATCGAAGAGCAGTTCAGCCGTCGGTGCAGTTTTCCGTCTCCGGGTGCTTCTTGTGTGAGAAGCTTTTTTTCTTTTACGGGAATCATGGCGCTGTTCATATTTTCAAAAGGAGGGGAGCGAGCAAAGCTGTATTTCTTCCCCGAGAACAAGATGTGGGGCTGAAACTTACAACTCTCAATTTCCAGAGTGCAGTTCTGCTCGTCCAGCGGGTATCGCCTCAGATCCATCATGCAGGCTGCTGTCGTCGTGATTCTGAACACACGAGAGGTTCTTTACTCAGAGCGTCTCTTAAAAAGGTAATGAAGACACGTTATCGAAGAGGAAGATACAAAGTGAAGTCTCAGCCATGAGCTCCTTCCCGGGGCCCTGTAGCAACACATTAAACGGAACAAAGACTCACGGAAAGACACGAACATCCCGGCGGTGCGGAAACATTCATTATTCTGTGTTTGAGGATCAGACTCTCTGTCAGTTACTGCAAATGGCACTTCAGAGGTTTACCCTGATAAACCTGAGGGAGACGTGATCTGCAGCTCGGAGGACGTCGACCAAACAGATGAGACACTTGGCCACTTGAGGCCTCCCGGCGACGGACAGACGAGAGGCCTAAAAGCCGCCAGCGAATGCGGCTAATAACCGTTAGCAATGGATCGCTAGCCGATCGTCGGGGGTGTTGATAATGACACGAAGTGTGTTCTTTTTGCAACCGGGTAACGGGCGTTGACCATCGGAGAAGCAACAGGGCTCACCTGAGGCCGTAGAGGACGGTGCCGTCCGGGTGAAGTCGGATCATCCGGTTCTTAACGGTGACGCCGTGAACGAAGGACCTCTTGTCGTTGAGGAAGTACGTGTCCGGGACCCACAGCTGGTCTGCCACTCGGTTGTCCAGCGTGAGGTTGAGAGGGATCCCCGCGTAGGCCAGTCTCTTGTCCCTCCAGTACTGCTGGAAGTACATCGTCAAGGTGTAGTCCTGAGGGGAGAAAAACTGCAGCGTGTGAGGTTTTTTTATGTACTCAACAATAAATAGGGGTCGGAGATGTGCGACTATACGACATGATACGGTACGAATAAAGTGCTTTTTGTTCCAGGCGGGTTCTTCAGGCCAGATTTACAGAAATGTCCAAACTCTTTCTTCTAATTTATCTTCAGTGTCTACAGCCCGGAGCTCAGGAAGGATTGTTTTTAAGGAACAATGGGGATATTTATAGAATCGTCAAACAGCTCGGATTCTCTTTGGTCTGCCCCCGGGTGAACATTCTTCAAGGTCCACCTCTCTCAGCTGTTCTGTGCACGAGACTGGCACTGGCCTTCACATGGATTCCCAATACTGCGGAACCGCCATCTACCCCTCGCTTCCAGTCCAGCAACTGACCACGTTCACCCGACAACACCAACACTGTATTTCTAGATGGGGCGGTAAGGATAGCGATGGATGGATGGAAGATTGATGATGGACGGATGGAGAATGGATCCAGGGTGGGTGGGTAGATGATGGATGAAGGACAGATGAAAAGATGATGAGTCGATGGATGGAGAATGGACAGATTGTTGGAGGATGGATGGATGATCGTTAATGTTAACGGGTGGATAGAGATAACTGGATGGATGCAGGATGGATGGATGGATGGATATATGGAGGAATAGCTGATGGATAGAGAGAAGAATATATGTTGGAGGGATGGATAGATAGATGTACGGAAAACTAGATGACGGGTGGGTGAAAGAATAGATATATGGATGAATAGATGGTGGATGGATGGATAGCGAGCTGGATAGATTTCATCACATATTAACAGCCTTACATGCAACGACATGAGTCTATTTGAATAATTTATTGGCATTCGCAGCTTGCTCCACTACTGCATCCATCAGCCACAAAAGCTTTTCGAGTCCGTTAATGGAGCTCTTTACCAGCTCGCTCGGCTGTTTTGCTGACTAATGTTCTCTTAAATAAATAAGCAGGTCGCAGGAAATACACAAAAACTTGGCATCGCAGAAAATGCCTACATTTCAATCCTCTGGTGCAATCTCATATTCATAAAAAAGTGTTTAAGAAATGCCCAGATCTTTCCTTTGGATATAAAAATCAATAGCAATAGCACAACTTCCAGACAGAATTAATTATCTCCAGTGCGCATGGTTCCAAACTGCTGATCTCATTTTGACATAATAAAGGATTGCTTTATTTTGGTTGATTCTCTCAACGGCACGGCTGAAAAACCGGAGGCTGGTTCAGTGTTTAGAATGAATTAAGCCACGAGGTTTGACCGACAGTGTAATATGGTATTGATTCTTGTGAATGATTTAGCCTGCTTGTACAGTCAGAGGACATATTTATTCTATGTGCCGAAAAGTTTATTTTCCTCCATTTAATGTATTTCTGGTTTTGGAAAGTATTTTTCCAGTTATATAATGAACTCCATTTTCGCATGTAAAGAGAGGCAGAGGGAGAAGGCCGTGTAACATATTTGTAGGAAATCTGAGGCTTGAGACTTGGTAAGAAGACGCCCCCTTTACGCTCCCTCCCACATGCAGCTGAGCTGTGGGCCGAGTGAATCAGCTTTACACAACAGCTCTTCCACTACAGAGATGGAGCCCATCTATCAACCCGCTCACTCAGCGTCTGGACCTCGACTATTTCCGTCCGTTTCAGATCCTCCAGATCATTTCACCCCAGCAGCAGTCTCAGAAACGAATGTATACGCGTCCGTCTCCCTGTACTCACTGTACCGAACGCCCTCCTCGTACCCTGTGTAAGCTGCGGGGGGGCGAGGGGGTCCCGCAGGGCTCTATTCTAGGCCTCAAAGGGTTTTTCATTGTGTGAGCAAGCATGCAGCAGTGAAGTCTTAAAGCTGCATTCTCTCTAATGTCCACCAGGAGGCGACTCCTTTGCCTACATAGAAGTCTATGAGAAAATGAATCTACTTCTCTCTTGACTTATCGCCTCAGTAAACATTGTAAACATGAGTTTATGGTCTCGGTCTCTAGTTTCAAGTCACCTCTCTGCAGCACAAGGATCATCTAGTAGGTTCATTTAACTCGATAAATTGTGTAATACTTGTGTACTCGTGTAGCTTGATCTTTCTCTTAAATACCAGATGAAAAAAAATACATGCACACAAAAACGATGTTGCGCAGCAAAAAAATGTTAATATTGTATTTTTATGTTTAACGCTATGATGGTGAAGTTGCCAACAATTTTGTTCAGTTTTTTAAAATTTTAAAATTATGTTTTTAATATTGATGAGTTTAATATTGTGTTTACTATCACAACCAGGTGACTGAATATGATACAAAGCCAACAGGGACTTTTGACAAACAACTAAAGGCCTTTAAGCACATTTTTGATTTTTAACGTTTTTTTACCCTTTTTTTTGGAACGTTTTGAAGGAACTCGACGCGTCAGCATGCCGTCGCTAAACTGGCCTCAAGAATCGTAACGTGAAATATCGGCATATTTTGTTCCTGTTCTCCATTCCACTGAAAACCAAGAAGTATAATATTGTGTCTGTGAGGATTCCAATCACCATCCCGAAAAAAAACCCCAGTTTTCCGGCCCCCTGCCTCTGATTCACGGGAGCCGTCAGGTACGTAAACCACAGGGGACAGAAGGAGGTTTCGGCTTTCAGCACCGGCGAGTAAATGAGGCCCGGTGGGAGGACGAGACGGTCGCGTCGCTCCCCGCTGTTGTCCTCCTGGCGCGCCAGTCAAACCTCGTCCCCGTCAGGCAGCGTCTGCCGGGGGAGGCCCGGCCCGCTCCGCCGGGCGGATCCGTGCTCCGCGGCGAGGACAACCGACGTCCACGCGTCCGCCCACGCGACTCCGTGTCACCGGATGTCCTGCCGCTGTCTCACCAGAGCGAAGGTGGGAGCTCAACGGAGAGCTGAAACGCCACGGAGACGGCGTTGGGTTTGACAAATGGAGGGTCCTAAACCAGCTCTTTGGTGCCAAAGTGTCATTTTCATTCCCTGACCTTTATACATATTGATATTGGTGACACATCAGATGAACATAAACTATCTGAAGTCTACATGAGTCTTATCAGGATTTAGCCTCATGTGATGCCAAATGAAGCTGCCCATTAAGAATAACTATTATGAGTAAGTACAGTTGTGGTCAAAAGTTTACATACACTGTAAAGAACATAATGTCGAGGCTCTCTTGAGTTTCCCGTTATTTCTACAAGTCAGATTTTTCTCTGATAGAGTGATTGGAACTGCACCAATTCTGTCGAGAGGATTCAACGAGAAGCTTGCCAGAAGCTTGTGGACGGACCGAAAGCCCCTAATTGAAGTAAAAATGGCCAACGGACATGTAACCAAAACCTAGCGCTGCTGTATGTACAGTGCATCCGAAACGTATGCACCTGAGCTACATCTTGAGTGTCATGGCAAAGGCTGTGAATACTTATGTACATGTTATGTTTTCCTTCTTTATTTTTAACAGATTTGAAAAAATTTGCAAATTTCTTTTTGCAAAATTTGCAGGTTGTTGTGTGTAGAATGTTGAGGAAAGTAATGAATTTAATCCATCTTGGAATAAGGCTGTAACATAACAAAATGTGGAAGCGCTGTGAATACTTTCCGGATGCACTGTATGTTTTTGACCCAGCAGATTTGATCTGTTGACCCATAATAAAGTCATAAAATAACCAAGCTTCATGAATGTTTTTTGTGACAAAGAAGTGGTGCTTTTGGTCCATTTACAAGCTTCTGGGAAGCTTCTCGTTGAATCCTCCTGACAGAATTGGTGCAGTTCCAATCACTCTATCAGAGAAAAATCTGACTTGTAGAAATTCTTCTACAGAACTGTATAACATCTCATCAATAGAGCAATAACTGAAGAAACTCTCGTCATCACAAAACTAAGCTTACTCATCTCCAAAAAAGGCCAGAACTCAAAATGGTAGGAAAGCATATTCCTTTCGATCAATTACTTTGATTAAATACGTCTCAATTTAAACAGTAAAACTTCTTTAGCAAGGATAAAAAACGTCAATCGGATTTAAAAAAAAAGAACATGTGCAGTCGGACCCATTTAAAACCATCAGGACCTTTAAACTGCCATTTACAGCTGAAAGGAAAAGGAGGAGGACAACAAAAATAAGACAAAGCAAAAGAGGATGGAGGAGAAAGAAGATGGAGGAAAAGGAAAGAAAAGAAAAATGATGAGGCCTTTAGTCCTTGTTAGCCCCGAGGAGCCCCGAGGGCCAACAGATGTGTCGCCGTGACTTATTCTATCGAATAAACCCGTTGGACATAAATCCGGGGGAACATCCGTCGTGGCGGCGACGCTTTAAGGGCCGACGCCTCCTCCGGGCAGGAGGTCGGATCATGTTAAAGTGTCGCCGGCATGTGGAGGTTTAGCGCGTGATGGATTAGTCTTAACACCAACAGCCCCGCCGGGAGTCGGTGCTTCGCAGGTCTTGTTCCTGGACGGGTGCTTCTTGTTTTTAGAAAGGGAACCGGTGGGACGAGGCCCCCGAAAGAGCGACCCCCGATAAACACGGCGGCGCTCCACGTCGCCTCTACGAAGTAGAAATGAAAAAGGAGAGCGGCAGAGTAGGGCGAGAAACGTTATAAATACTTCTCATTTCCTAGACAACGAGCCTCGGCTCAGCCCACGCGGGCTAAAACGGGCGGGAGACTTGTGTGAAAACAGAAACCAGAGAGAGAGAGAGAGAGAGAGAGAGAGAGAGAGAGAGGCCTCAACTACAAACTCGTCCCACTCTCAAGTCGCCTCCGACCACGTTTCACATCTTCAAAATGAATGAAACGCGTCCGACGGCTCGCGAAGGATGGATTGCAGATGTATAATCTTTTTGTCCTTTGGATGTGAGGAGGCTCCAGGAGCAGAACTGCCAGTCAAATCAATTATTATTATTATTATTATTTTGTTAAGACTACTTTAAAAAAAAAACGCTCCACAATGAATCCTTGTTTAATTAGATCTTATTGACGTATTAAAAATAAGAGAGGGAGTTCCTGGTGGATCACTTGGTGAAATTTAAAAAAAGGAGTAAAATAACTTGTGGAAATGTGAAAAATGTCCCACGACACGTGTGATGGATGTTCTGAAGGACAGCCAGCTCTGCTCGTCATCACTCCATAAGTAAAGTGGAATTGGGCTGAGGAAGACCGCCCCACACGTGAGGATGAAGAGTCCAGCTGCTAACAGGAAGACCACTTGCTCTTGGTTTTAGATCCGCTCTTCTGAGAGCTCGGAGTATAGTCTATGATCAGCGGATTAACGGCCCATCGTGCACAGATACACTTTGTGAGGCGCTCTGTAAGAGTTGTGTTTCCTTTGGCCAGGCTCAGCTTTTGACAGACGTCCGTTCACTGGGTTGTAAATAGATGACTGACGGCTCGCGTCACCGCTCTGGACACGCGGCCTCGTCTGTCAAAACGGAGTACGATTGAATCCATAAGGTCAAACGGTTGTGTAAACTGTAAAGTGGCATTTGAACTCATTCACCACGTAAACAGATCATATTTTAAATCCCGCTGACTTCATGTAATCTTTTCCGGGAAGAATCAAGGATTGAATTGCTCATAAGAGAGATCAAAGCAGTTTGAGAAGGGCAATTAATTGATTGAATTACTTGAAGAACAAGATTTGACTTTGAATAAATTTACCCAAATATATAATCTGGACATGCAAATGCTACAACGTAACAACTGATGTTTGTGTTGCCTCAGAGCAACTCACAGTAATCCACACATACGTAACACAGGTTGACTGGACGGGCTGAGAGAGTTCATGGTGTCCAGTTCAGATGAGGAGGAAACGTATTCCCGTCTGTTCCATCTGCATGAACAATTTACCCCAAAAGCAGCAATCTAACGGCACCACAACAACAAAAAATGCGTCGCCAGCTTGAAAACTTCTGCTCAGCATTTCATTTGTTTTCCTTGACATCGCATAATGTTTGTAAAATGTGTTGTAGAGAAAATGAGAACTTTCCCACAACTGAAGAACAAAAAAAAAAACCTGATCCCATTATCTACAACAATGAAATAAGGTTGTGTTTTCTCTTCTCACTGGGCTGCCGGGCGGAGACGCACAAAAAAACAGCAGCACCGCTGTTTCCTCCTGGTTGCATGTGACGGGGCATCGTGCTCCGTCAGCAGCCCGGCCCGATGATAGATGGCATAAGACATTAATCTGGAGGCCCTGAAGGCTCCGACCGGAGCAGGAGCACCGGGGCGTCAGTGCTGGAGTCACTCGGCCACTGAACCGGGATGTGAAACCGTGCGAGGATTATCTGACGCAAACCGCTGTGGACATCAACACGGCGCCCTGCTCACAAACCAGACTGTTCAGGCAGTGCAGATTGTGCAGATTCATTTATGTTTGTTCTAAAGATGGTATTACTTTATAACTAGTCACCTTTCATTTGAGGTGCTTCTCGTGCATTTAAGGAATGTCATTTAAAGCTTCTATTAAACTTTTGAATGGAGCTTTGAATTCTTTATTTTTATGAGGAATTAGATGTGAGAACATGCGTGTGTCACCGCGCACATTTAATGATGCTTTGAAGCACCGAACTGTGAGATAAAGCCCCAGCCGGTTTAATAACTGTTATATTAATGCAACTATTAATACATTCTATTTATATGAACAGTTTTTAGGTTACAAGGTTGTGAAATGCAAAACTACTTTTTGAGAAGGATGTGAGGCGTTAGCACCACCTTAGCACCACCTTAGCGCCATTGGCAGACAACTTGACCTGGAGGAGAGCGTTTGAGCTTTGGGGAAAACAGCTAGACAGTTAGCTAGCTAGCTATCTACAGGGCTACATAACGTTAGCTAGTCCAGGACTACTGGTAGCCACCATGTCTATCTACAGAGCTGGGTAGTTAGCTAGCTAGCACGTCCTGGACTAACGTAAGTAGCCAGAGCTGGCTAGTTAGCTGGCTAGTTAGCTGGTTAGTTAGCTCCTGCTCTCCTCGAGCCAATGCGTGAGGCAGAGAGGCAGGAAAGTTTAGGACTTTCTCTCAGTCTCTGAAATGTTTTGCCGACATCCTTAAATCACACTTTTCTTCTAAATTGGATTGACTCAAAAGCAGAGTAAGATGAGGTTTTATACTATTATAGACACCAACAAATACTTCCTCCAATTAAGTATTGTAAACTTTTACTCTTGTATTTCCATCCATCCATCCATCCATCCATCCATCCATCTTGTATTTATCTTTTGTAATTCAGTAGAATGTTGTAATTTATTTATTACTTACTCTGATTAATATTTTGTTCTGATTGGCAGATGTGTCAGTTTTATTTTTTGTAAACTTAATTGTTGTTCAATTGTTCATATATGTTGATATTTTTATTCTCTCGTTTTTAAAAATGATTATTTTGTCATCTTTAAAGAATCTTCCTTTAGGATTAATATAGTATTCTTTTATCTTAAAACAAATACATGTTGTCATAACAGCATCAGTAAATGATCATTTGTGTCCTATATGAAAGTGGTTCTCTATATTCTAAGGAATTTAACCAATCAATAAAATAGTACAGAAAGTCAGTTAACTTACCATATTGACCTCTGACACCCTGTCGATGCTCGCCACGTCGATGCTCATGCCGACAGCCACCGGTGCGCCTTGAAACAAACCGAACACGGTTCATTACACTGATTGATCGCAGACCATGAGGATTTGGTGCGATCGCGCACGTGTTTACCTCCAAAGTCCGGCCGCAGACGGATGTCGTATCCCTTCAACAGTTTGTCCACAGTGTCTTTGACATGTGACATGTCCCTCGGTTCCTTCACGCTGAAAACACACAGAAGACAATGGTGACGGACACCCGCGATGGACGGACACCCTCCCGGTACGTTTTAGCACTCAACCTACCGATAGCTCATAATGAAACCATGCAAACATGTCCCAATAGAAACCTTGAAAACAAGTAAATGGGTGTGATTTGGCTCCTTTAAATCCAAACAAATGCTACACATTCTTTTGGGGTCTTAGAGTCATCTGAGGATCATTCAAATGATTTTTAGGTTTAAGAAATGGCGATACGTCGTAATTATGTACTAGGAGTTTTAAAGGACTAAAACACTGGTTTTACACGTATGTACAGTATATTCATGCAGAATTTATTCGGTCAAACATTAGATCAAAGATAATCCTCAGAATACAATAGAAACATATGTGAGCAATAAAGTAACAATTAGGTGTAAAAATAAAAGTAGTACGGCAACAGTGTGACACAGAAAGTAATAGAAATAAGAGTAAATAAATGAAGTAAACAATTATACTAAAATATAAGGGTGTCCGTGTTGCGTGGATGGATTTCTAAGGACTCTTCTAGGTCTTTGTGAGAAAGAATCTGTGATGAAATTGGAGCTGCACTCCTCAGGAGACGTCCTGTGGGGATTCTTACCTGGTGTCGTAGATGGCGAACAGCTTCTTGTTCCCGTCAACAGCGTTCCTGCAAACACAAAACAAGGAGGTTTTAAATAGTGGTTTTGGTTTCTGAAGAACCAGGAGGACCGGGCTGACCCGCTTGCCCGCAGGAGGTGAGTGAAGATAAACTGCTCCAGACATTTTGTCTTCCCCTGCAATCTGGACCATTGACCCAAAAAGAATCAGGGCCTTCCCAGGTTTGTGTCCCACATCGTTAGGCCTAATATAGGCCGCCCGACCAGGAGAGGGAAACAACTGAAGGCTTCATCAAGTAGTTGAGCGGTGAATCTCCTTGAGAGGGAAGAGATTATTCGATCTGAAATCATGACTGACGATTGTGATCCGATACAGTCTTCTCTTTAAAATCCATATTGATACCCGACACTGAAACTGTGCAACGCGTCCTCAGTTACTATGGTAACCATCCAAAGGTTACTTCTCTCTTTGTTTTACATCATCAGTTCACCTACTGAAGAGCTAAGATGAGAAGAAAAGATGGTGCTTTGAGGTCAGTACCATGAAACGATGTGCGCTACCACCGGTCTACCTGTCTGCTTACCCCCCGATCTACCGTCTGCTTACCCCCTGTCTACCTGTCTGCTTACCCCCCGGTCTACCTGTCTGCTTACCCCCCGGTCTACCTGTCTGCTTACCCCGCGCTCTACCTGTCTGCTTACCCACCGGTCTACCTGTCTGCTTACCCCCCGCTCTACCAGTCTGCTTACCCCCGATCTACCCGTCTGCTTACCCCCCGGTCTACCTGTCCTGCTTACCCCCCACTCTACCTGTCTTCTTTACCCCCCGGTCACCTGTCTGCTTACCCCCCGGTCTACCGTCTGCTTACCCCCCGCTCTACCTGTCTGCTTACCCCCCGCTCTACCTGTCTGCTTACCCCCGGCCTACCTGTCTGCTTACCCCCCGGCCCTACCTGTCTGCTTACCCCCCGCTCTACCTGTCTTCTTACCCCCCGCTCTACCTGTCTGCTTACCCCCCGGTCCACCTGTCTGCTTACCCCCCGGTCTACCCGTCTGCCGGTCTGGCCTGCTGTCTACCTATTTATCTACCCGCGTTCACTCATCCAATTGGACACAAACAGCGGCGTCCTGATTGTAACTCCCCCTTTGTTTTCCTCCGCCCACCACAACCTCCTCCTCATTGGTCTTCATTATACCACGCCACCTGACGTCCTGTCTCACTTTTATGTCGATTCTCTTGACAAGAGTCTGAAGTAAACACAAAACGTCTCAAGTTACACAATGATCTAATTTGTAGGTATCTGTGTGTTTTAATTATTACAATGTAAACGAAAATGCAGCACAGAATACTGTGTTTTTGTTGTGCATCCCTGTGTTGAATAATGACAAGTGGCTCAATTTAACCACGTGGCACAGCTGACTTTTATAAACGCTGTCAGAATCAATGGAAGTTAAACATAATGAAATAAAGGTGTGTGGGAGGATTCTATCTGCTGAAGCATTATGATAATATTGGAGGTTCGTGTTATTGTGGAGATGCTCACTCTTTCCAGTCCGCCCCCTCCGTGCAGTACCGGCGCTTTCTTTCTCCTCCTCTCTTTCATCAGCACCAAAAGTCTATTTGCATTGTACCTCGCCTTTGTATTGGATTTTCTTGCAGAGCTCGCGGCTCCTCCTCAGAGGGGAGGGAGGGTGGGGGGGGCTGTGTGTGTGCGGGGGGGGGGGGGGCAAAGGATGGTCAGTCACCACAAGTGGTGGGATGAAGCCCTTTGCATTACCGCTGCCAACCTTTTAATCGCTCTGGGGAGAAATAAACCTCGCTGACTGTGGAATTAGTCCACATCTTCATCATCTTCATCTTCACCCCTTTTCTTTTCCCTCCCTCCCTCCCTCCCTCCCTCTTTCTCTCTCTCTCTTTCTGTCTTGGATGGAGCCGCGCGCTCCTGCAGGGATGATGCCAAATACTAACAGCGAGATCTGCGTGTGAGATATTCCCCGGGCAAAAAGAAAAGGGAAAGAAATTGGATGCCCATCGTCTTGTGCGATCGCGCACGTGTTTACCTCCAAAGTCCGGCCGCAGACGGATGTCGTATCCCTTCAACAGTTTGTCCACAGTGTCTTTGACATGTGACATGTCCCTCGGTTCCTTCACGCTGAAAACACACAGAAGACAATGGTGACGGACACCCGCGATGGACGGACACCCTCCCGGTACGTTTTAGCACTCAACCTACCGATAGCTCATAATGAAACCATGCAAACATGTCCCAATAGAAACCTTGAAAACAAGTAAATGGGTGTGATTTGGCTCCTTTAAATCCAAACAAATGCTACACATTCTTTTGGGGTCTTAGAGTCATCTGAGGATCATTCAAATGATTTTTAGGTTTAAGAAATGGCAATACGTCGTAATTATGTACTAGGAGTTTTAAAGGACTAAAACACTGGTTTTACACGTATGTATATTCATGCAGAATTGATTCGGTCAAACATTAGATCAAAGATAATCCTCAGAAGAATACAATAGAAACATATATGAGCAATAAAGTAACAATTAGGTGTAAAAATAAAAGTAGTACTGGTAACAGTGTGACACAGAAAGTAATAGAAATAAGAGTAAAATAAATAAAGTAAACAATTATACTAAAAATATAAAGGGTGTCCGTGTTGCGTGGGATGGATTTCTAAAGACTCTTCAAAAGGTCTTTTGTGGAGAAAGAATTCTGTGATGAAATAGGAGCTGCACTCGTCATGAAACTTCTGTGGGGATTCCTTACTTGTGTCGAAAAAGGCGAATAGTTCTTGTTATCCTTAAACGACGTTCTGCCGAACATAATGAGGAGGTTGTGAGTA